AACTTCTACATTAAACCCAATTGAATTCTTCTACTTTAATATTATACTGTTGAAATTTCACTCTCTCCCCACCTTGTTGAAACGAGAGAACAGCTTGTGAGCAATCTCCTGATAAAAACCTTCCATATGTTTAAAGCAGCCTTTTCTTTCCCCAGTAAGTAATTTCTTCTCCGTTTTCTTTTATACATTTCTGTATTTTCCAAGCTTTTATACACCTCTGTTTCCCAATGGATCATATTTAAACATTTCTTATTTTTCTGAAAATACCTTTACAGACTTGACTAATACCAAACATAGCATGTCATAGTTATTTTATATGTTTTGTACTCAATATTGTGTAGTTCTAATTTAAGATAATTTCTAAGTGAATTTGTACACTCTTATTTTTGTTTTTAATGGTTTAAGAGAAAGCATCTACTAAATTCATATTGAAGAATTCTTTAAGAGATTAGAGTGATGAAATTTGGTATTATCAATAGACAGTGAAATTTGATAACCTAAAATGATTTTTATTTTCCTTTAAGAATACAATATCTACTTTAAAATCATCTATGCACTATATCTGCAATAATTCTATCTCTTCACAGTTCTACTTTGCAAGAATTTAACACTTTTACTTACTGATAGATCAAGGGAGGGAAAGTTATTTTTGCCAGGAATAAATGTGCTATTTGTGAGCAGTGGAGCATGTTCCTGCATGATTTCTAAGTATGGTTCTTTAACAAAGAAATTTCCTGCTAAGGGTCATGGGTAAGAGAAGGTTCAAGGATGGAAAAATCTGTTGTTATTTGGCTTCAATAAAAAGCTCAAAGATAGACAATAAATGCCTCTAGAAATAGTGGCTGATGGTGAGACAGTAGCTTCATCAGAGTGCATAGCTATTGTTTTGTATGACACACTGAACTCAAGAAGATGTAATGTTAGCTCCATCTAAATGTAGGAAGACAGTAGCATCTACTTCAGAATATAAACTGTAAATTCTAAAAGTGAGGAGAGAATCTGGCATATAGTTGGGTCTCATAACCCTCTGACTTTCATTCAAGGCCTCGTTTTTCAAAGGACTCAAATTTGTTTATATTCACAAGATGAACTATAGAAAGCTCATCTATTATTTTTTGCAGCTGTTTGTTAATGAATAAATCATTTTTCCCTAAGAGAGGAAGTCTATCTAAAATGTGATATCTATAACATGACAAAAATGGCAGTTTCTGATAGGAAATCTGGAGCACCCCAGTATTGTCAAGAAAGGCTCGAACAACACAAAGTTGGAAAAAAATAACATTTTTGTCTGTTTTTTATTCTTCTTTGTCCCTCCAGACATTATTGTATCAAATATCACTCTCTGGGGCATATATTTTTCACTCTCTCCTTTACTCTAGCCTTTGAATATAAATGTCATTCTCAAATCAATCTCTTCTTATAGGTTAAATGATTGAGGGAAGAGGTTTTTAGGTTTGCATTAAATATCAACTATGGCAGACATGGTAATAAGCTATGATAGTAAAGTATAAGTGGAGCTTCAGATATACAATGTAAATTTCTAGAGATCTGCTGCACAACATCGTGCCTAGATTTAACTATTATGAATCATATATTTAATAATTTATTAAGCAGTAGAGCTCATGATTACAGGAAAGAAAGAGAAGGAGAAACAGTAGGTCTAATGCAGAGAACTATTTAATGAAGTGTAACCAGAAAAGGCAGGAAAGGTAGGGACAATTGTGTGCATGTAAATTTAGAAATAAATTAAAGACTAGAAGAGAGCAAGAGAAACAGAAGTCTGGAGTACATGGAAGTGGGTTTTTTGGAGCCACACTGTGCTGGCATTCTCTTTGTTTACCCTGTTGGTCATTATATCTTTCTCCTACACTTTTTTGCCCATGCCTGAAACCACTGGGTGATTAACTGACTTCTGTTTGGCTTCATGGGAGCTATAAAAGAAAAGAAAGTAAGAAGTCAGGATTTGAATTTCCTAATCCTTTCCTATATTCTGGCCTACTTTGTACCTCTAATCCTAACCTTAACCCTAACCCCCATTCTAGTCTCTGCTCCCTTGGTCATTCAGGTTAACAGTATTGAGGACTTGGTGACTGTAGCCTACAGATGCCTCTGGTTCTCTTCTTGGTCCTCTAAATCCTGTTCATATTTCTTTAATTTGACTATTTATTAAATCCTATTGAGCCATCTGAGTTGGATTCCAGCTAAGTTCATAACTGACAGAAATAAACCTGTTCAAATTTAAAACGACACTAGAAGATATGGCAACACACACGTACACATGTATTTGGGGAGAGAATAATGGATGTGAGTTGGATAAAACAGTTACAGGTGGCCTCTGTCGGAGGTGATACTTCAGTAGAGGCCAAAGTATTAGTGGCAGCCCTCATGGATAAAAGAGGAAAGAGCACATGCAAAGATCATGCGATGGGAAAAAACTTGACATGCTCAATTTCAGAGCTGGATTACAGGACCATACAAGAGACATCTGTTAAAATACTCCATGAAGACACACTAGAGAAAGAGTCAGCCTGCATGCTATGGTCTTGATTGATAGCTAGTGACATATACTGAAGTTCCCGGATGTAAGGCCCACAAGAGAACCATGTAGTTCTAAGTGGGAAACAGCTCAGACAAGCTGTGAGAACTAAGCAGATACTCAGATATTAATTTCAAGTTGCTGTGATCATGTTGGGACTCGGTGGTAACTTACTCCACACGGTAATACGCTGAGAGGAATTAACACATGTCAGGATTTCTTTGATCTTGTTTATTTCACAACACTGCAAGTTAGTCTTTGGTAGTGGTAGTTTTCTTTATGTTTTTGTCTTCCAATAGTTGTGACATTTCATTTAAAAATCAAATGAAAGAACTTTACTAAGATGGTTTGTGTTTTTAACCTCTCTTTTACTAATTTATTTTGGGGAAGGGAGGGGTAGCAGCGGAGTGAAGAAGTTGAAGAAAATAAAGCACTAAAGAATATAAATGATTTAACTGTTGGTTCCTATCTAGACAGAAAGGGCTTTAAGCATCAATTTACTAAACATATTTCAAGGCTTCTAAAAGCAGCCACATCTACCTTATTAAATAAGCCTGCCTGAGGAAATATTCTTTATTGTTTCTTTCCTATATAAATCTATTATTGTAATTTGTTTTACAATATGACCTCTCTTTATTTGTGGCTGCAGTACAAATTCTGGCATTTAAAAATTATTTAACTTCAGGATATACTAAAACCTTTGGCATCAACTCAGAATATATTACTTTTACATTTATCAGAATTAAGCATCTTGCTGAGATGTTTTCAAGAATACTTAATGCTATAACATTGGCAAATGGGAAAAAATTCTTTCAAGGTATTATTCAGCTTTATACACTTATCTAATATCTTGTTAGTTCATTAATAAAAGTGTGTAGTACTTTACATTCTCAGTGAGATGTTAGTACACAATGGTTGATACATTGTGTCAACTTGAAAAGTTTAAGAGACTCAGCAGAAAGCTGTGTAAATATCCTCATCTCATAAGACGGGGGCAGGGAGATGGTGTGAGTGCTACACCCCACCAGGGGGCGGTTGCCAGGTTACAGTATAAGGAAGCAAAAGAAGCTTGCTTTCCTCACTCCCCCTTTGCTCTTGATGCTTCTGCTGTCTTCTGCTGCCGTGAACCATTGCCCCTTATCATGCCACCCTGCCTGGAAGTCAGCTGAGTATGGACTGAAACCTTCACAAACTGTGAGCTAAATAAACCTTTTCTTTCCTCTTTAATTCAGGTAGCAATTATTTTATCTCAGCAATGAAAGAAAAGTAACCAAAACAAGTAGCATAACACAATTTAATTACCTTTTGCTTCCCTTAATACCTACAGATTTAGAATGCTTCCTCAGATACCTACCTCAACATACATTAGGTGAATTTTGATTTCTTAAAATATATTTCTACTTATGGGCATTATTTTCTTAAAAGAGAGGTCAATCAACAATTTGTTTTGATTTTTGTCTATTTTGTTCTTTCTTCTACTTAGATTGGAGCACACCTACATAAACAAATTTTTTCAATCCATCTTGAAATTAAAATATATGGTGTTTTCTATGTTTATTCCTAAATCTCCAGTTACTGAGTTTTTCTTACTTACAAATATTTTTCTCACTTGTAGAGTAACCCTACTATTATAAACACATTTACATAGCAAGTTTTATCTCTAAGTGCTTTATAGTTATACTGTGGCAGTTAGCTCAACACTCATGCAGGTAAATGATTAGTAACTCTGATAGAGATGCATTTATGCAAATTATAATTATAGAGTTTAGAAAGGACCCTGAGGTCTTATCATACAAAAAAATAAAACCATTCTCTTTAAAATAAATCATGATACTCTAATCAAATATGATCAAAACACCACTTCTGGCATTGATTCCAATACGCAAATTGTAGGCATTATTGAAGTGACTCGGAAATAGAATCAGGGACTATGGAAGACATTAAGTTGTTATATAAATCATCTCTCTGATTTAAGAATGGTTACTTATTGTACACATTGATAGCTCATGATGTCAAAATATAATTTCAGAAGATACTGAAATAATTAATTTGCATAACTATTACTTTTGTAATTGTTCATTCTCTTTCCACATACCTTTTCAGAATCTATACATATGCATGAAAGTACGTAATCTCTTGGCCTTTTACTTTCCCTTTATTTATATCATTGCTAAATAAAAATTTTAAAATGATACAAAATTTTAAGTAGTCATAGAAACATGAAATTTTAATTTAGTGAGGTTTTCATGTTAAAGTAAAATAATATACATTGATGTTCACAGAAATGATTAGAAAATAATTACCATTGGTTATTTTGTCAATTCCCATATGCCTTTCTTTTTTTAAAAAAAGTATAGTCACCTTGAAGCTTCTGAGAAAACAAGATCTAGCAAAACAAATGATTCAAAAATGTGTTGCATTTTCATAAACAATCATGTCTAATTATAGAAGTATATGTACTTACTTGCCCAGTGCAAAGCACTCCATCTTAACAGTTGTTCCCTTAGCAGCTGTAACCGTGAAAGGAAAATGGACCTCAATTTTAGGCTCATATTCTCCCATCACACCTGGGAAATAAAGAATAGACTTTAAGCATAAAATGAATCTTACAATTTATTTCTGGGACTGTCGATGTCACATTTGCTTGTTAATATGTTTGATGACTGCTAAATTTTTCGGTGCCTTGAAATAAAGTATATTTATGCTCAATTATTAAGATGAAAACCCACTCTCCCCTTAGGATTTGGACTACATATCTGCTCAACACCCTGTAAAATCAAAATTATTAAAAGTATTAATCAGCATTGATAGTTCACTGATTATTCTCCCAAATAAACAAGTAACTATGAACATTTCTGGTAAATAATTTTGTGTTTTTCTTTAAATTAGAAACTATGCCAGAACTTTCTTTATCATTGCCCAGTAAGTTTGTATTCAATTAGTAAGTCAACATACATCAATTGATTTTCTATAGTTTTGTAGGGAATTTCACTAAGAACTGTGAAAGTTACAAAGATTAATCAGCCATGAATCATGTCCTCCAAATAGTCTTAAAGAGAAAATTGACATTACTCAAGTATGCAAGCAAAGCTTGGCATCAAAATGCTTGGATGCAAGATAAGAGATGAGGATTCTGAACTATTACACACAGAAAGGGTTTGTAAGTAGAATTAAAATTTGGATTAAGACAGGAAACAAAGCATACTGGCTGTAGGAAGAAAGCCAAAGAGATGGAAAACCACCAAAATGTCAATTTTTCTACTACTGCTTGTTGATAGCTGAAGGGAAGTGACATGAGGTAAGTTTGAAGATACAGTGTCCAAAGAGTTGAGATATTTGATTATCAGAGTAAATATTCAGACTCTGACTTGTATCTAACTTGGAGCTCTTACAGATTTGATTGAGGGAGTGACATTACACAGAAATGCATACATGAGAATTAGAATAATCAAGTTACTTACTCTAGTATTACAAGATAAAGGCAGTAAAATCCTGAGTTGTAGTAAAAACAAAGTACATTGAAAAATCAAGAAAGAACTGAAACCGGTCAACTAGTTAAACATTGTGGCAGAGGACAAGCCTGTGACAGTATCAATGATGACAGTAAGGTCTCTAGTTTAAGGGGTTTGATGATATCAATTGAAAAAATAAAAGTGGCGATTATGGTGTAGTAAGTGTGCACAATGCTGAATACATAGTCCGAAGTAAATGTCTGCTATATAGTGCAAATAAGAGAATGAAGCTCGGATTGGGCTCTATGCAGTTGGTAAACGTTCTCATCATTTACAAAGTCTTGAGCACTTGTAGAGCTTTTACTTACTGAAAGACAATTTCCTATGTGAGGCCTGGCGGACTCTATTAATAGTCCTCTCAGGTAACCCTTTAGCTGATTTTCTCCTAAGAATAATGAACAATGATTGGTCACAGATTTCTGTGAGGAGACTGCTTTGCAGCTCAGGGTGTCTGTCTTTGTGGTATATTTGTATGCAGTGGGTTTTTGTGGATGTGTCACATGGAGGGTAATTCTTTTGTGTATGTGTGGGACATGGAAGAAGAGGGGAGGAATCCAGACGGGGTAAGATAAACGCTATAGATACGCAGGTATGATGCACTGAACATTCGAAGGCAGAAAGGGATAGCTTTGACAAGGGAAACTTTTTAGAGTTTATCATATATATTTGAAATAAAACTTGAAGGAAAAATGTGAACAATGTTAGATGGAAAGTGTCTAAGTTTCTTATCTTTGTTTTTTGCACTTTTATTTTTACAAATCACAGTAGAGAAATTTTCAATAACATTTTTGTCACAGGGATTGGAATTTTAGCCCTGGATCTGATGACCAGACTGTGCCTTCCTAATACTTTAGTTATTTCTGGGTTTCCTTTCTTGGCCTGTAAACTGGGAGGATAGAAAGGAAATACCATTACTGTAATACCCTTCCCTAACTACTTGTATAATATCTGATGCACTTCAAGAATTTAACAGCAAAATGAAATGTGTACTTGGTATTACTATGTCACTCAGGAGAGGTGTGTAAGCACTTTGTTTTTTATTAGTTTTCTACTTCATTTTCTAGTATCTGTCCTGCCCATCCTGCCACACATTCCAACTTTCTTCTTTCTATGTCTATATCTTCTTTCTATGTCCTCCTTATGTTCACTTTTTTCTTTCCAGGATGTTTCCTCAACAACTTAAATAGTGGGATCTGGTCCTCTGTTGATACAGCTGAGTGTATCCAGTGTTATCTTGTCCATCTTTAATAAATTTACTTATGAGACCTTACATGATTAATCATAGACATTTTTCCTACAGTTATCTTTGTTTAAATCAAGCTATCTGAAAGTTAATGATCTTCCTATTGCTAAAGTTGAGTCTACAGTCTTCTTGGTTCTAGAAATAACTTTTTCAATAATCAGTGGTTTAGTGTAATGTATTTTAAATCTAACCCTCTTGCCTGCATAGGTCTTTGTGATGGCAGGTAGTTACTGAGTATCTTACAGTGTTATAAAAATGCAGTAATAATCATTCTAATTTATGTAATATTTTTGTGTATTCCTAGTAAATTGTTCAAAGAGATTTCAAAAGAAAAAGATATGAATCTCCAAAGCTACTTTATTTTGTTATCTTTTCCAATCTAAATATTCTCTTTAGAACACATTTTTACATTAACACAGCTGTGTTCATCCTATTAAAGAAGCAACGGAAACAAACCTATATATTAAAACAAAATGAAGACATTTGAATAATAGATTTTAAGTTAAACTAATTTATTTGAGCTAGACTGAAAGAAATTAATACTAGGTCTTTTTTAATTTTACTCTGAAACCAACAATGTACATAGAAGGACCAATGAAAAAGCTCTTTAGATATGCCTTGCTTTGTAACAACTGATCACATTCAAAAATTAAGTTTTGATTATACAGTACATGGTATAATTATTTTAGAGTGAAAGTGGGCACAGGAACAACTATATAGTTTACTTATACTTGCAGTTTTTAATATCTCGTCATGTGCAGTGTAGCTTATAACTCTTTATGTAGCACTTGATACTGAAAGAAGGGGAAAAGTTCCATGAGATAACATGTTGAAGGTCAAAGTATTGGGCTTGTCTCTGACTATTGATATCAGCCTAAGTATTATTAAAGATACCCTAGCTTGTGTAATTATGTTTTTCCCCATTACTGTCTCTCCTGGAGTACATGGTTGATGTATTTTGGCACTGTATATGATTAAGAGAGGACACCATATTACCTTAATTCGTTTTCCAGCTGGGAGTACCTTCTTCCCAGCTATGAAAAAGAGAAAAGAAGCAGCACTGATACTCTATCTAGCTTCTTTCTCTCTTCTAGCTTAAAAAAAAATGTCTATTTGATTAGGTAATTTAAAGTTAAGCGTCTCAGTTTGGAACTAAGATTTCTGACTGATATGACATCATGCCCAGCATAAAGAGTGGTGACTCAACGTCAGGTTCTATAAGTAATGTGGTATCTGGAAAGAGGTCAAAACAAACAGTATACAAGACTTTTCTATTTTTAAGCATTCTACAATTAGTAAAGGGTGTGAACTTTAATAGTAGACAGAAAGTACATGCTGTTTAAGTAACCTAATAAAAGTTGATAAATAAAATTATAGAGGTTTTGGTAAAATATTATGAAAAATGAAAGGAAATTTAATGAGAGAAATATGTTAACTAGGTTGTGCTGCTGAAACTGAAGTTGAAAGATAAAGGGTTGAAGTCTCAGCTAGCAGGGTATAGAAATGCCACTGTTTATTAGAGATAACAGAATTACATGTACTCATTATTATCAGTGATATGATGTTGACAAATTAAACATATATTAAATATAATCAAGATTTATCTAAGGTAAGCCTCGAAGTGAAGACTCCTGATCCAAAGTATGGTTTCCATATTAAGGAATATTGAAATAAATTAGGAAATATATTTTGGAAATTTCCATTCATTTCACAAGATATATATATATATATATCTGAATTAGCTACATTACTTTATAATACTTTAGTTTCAATGAATATTTTACTTGTAGTTATTTTTGCTATTATTTTGAAAGTATGAGTTTAAATGTAGTCACTGTGTGTAAGACCAAGTATAAAGAACAAGAACAAATAATGACATAGTAATGATGATGTAAATGAGAAAGAATGAAAATTACTAAACAGTATGTTAATGATATGTTTGATATTATTTTACTAAATGTGACATCTGTCACTGTATTCATCCTCTCAAGACATAGTAAATATCAACCCGTGATTTTTAGATAAATGATGTAATTCCAAATTGTGCCTTATTTCTGATAAAGTGTTAAGGTAATCAAATAACTCTGGATCTCAGTTTTTTTTAAGATGTCATGGAAATGCACATGATCTTGTGAGTTTAGAAATGTAGTGTTATATTAGAAATTATGCACCATGCATGAAAGTATGATTTTGGTTATAATAAATAAATAACAATGTCTTAAGAGTTTAAATCATTTAGAAAAGTTTCCCAATGACTTCTTTTCATTTCCATAATGAACCTCTTAGAAATCACAACTTTACAAAATTTCATTTTCTTTCTAAGTTTATTTTACCCTGAATTGTAGTTTTTTGTTTTTTTTTTTTTTTTTAAGAGCAGAATATATTTCTTGAAAGAAAGAAAGCTTCTGTCTGAGAGGGAATTGTAGTTTCTTGAGGTGAGTCGCTGCCATATAAATAAAGGGACTTAGCTCTCCCGAAAATGAGTTATCAACAGGTAAATATACTATCATGAGAATTAATTATAGAGAGAAAGAAAAACTAGAATATTTTTTCATCAGGAGAAAGTATTTTCATCACTATTATACATTGGGTCTGAAAATCAGAGAAGCCAATTGATTCATATTTCCTTGTAAATATCAAGAATAAACTGATCAAGCAGCTGCTACACACTATAATTGATTTCCTATGAGAGCAGAATTTTATTTTCTTTCATTCTTGTCATATGTAAGGAAATACATCATCTCTTTCCCTCACCATCTCAGGGCCTAGAAAAACTAAATATATATTTTTCTCAATCATATAATCTCTGGCA